GTGTCCATTCTGCCAGGTAAAGAAAAAGCAAGGATCTTAATCTCCTCAATTGTCGTGCAAGTCACATCAATGTTGAAAACTGTAGGCTGGATTAATGTACAGAAGTTGTACAGAAGTTGAATGAGAAGTGTGCTTTCAAAGTTCATCAAAAGTTACCTTGGATGATCTTGTGAAGTGTCTTTGGTGCTGCTCTTGTTTTCACCAACATGCAGGAGGACGGGCTGTCCTGGTTGCACGGCAATGAGGAAGGTTTCAAAGCTGGCTTGCATCTTTGACATAATGATAAGACAAATAATAAAAATTATTAAATATATTTAGCAGCACAGCTACATTCAGATAGCAAACAAAGCTAATGAGAAAGTGCTTCTACAAAGCAGAATCATTAGAATAACCACATACCTGCACATATCTGAAAACATGGTCCACAGTTTGACATGAGCTGTTTTGGATTCTTCTTGTGGCCTTTGGATGTAGGACGAAGCACATGAACCAATGGAAGAATGCCTGGTTTTCCCAGCCTGGAGGAACAACAGGATAAATAGCAGACACATTAGGATAATAAATACAGATTTTAAAGAGAAGTGAGCAAAACTAACCAGACCCACCAACATACTTTGTCCACCCGGTTTACCCTGGAGAGCATTTTTTACCACCTACAACATAAAGCATAAAAATGTCAGAAATAATTACCATGAACACAACTCAGACATTAGGCATTATAGAAATTAGTCAGCTTATAGAAACATTATGTCTCAAGAAGACAAGAAGTCATCATAACAGGCTTCAGTCACCAACATGAAGTACTAATGAAGAAAAAAGAGGCAGCCAATGTCATTATTTATTATTTATAGAGACAAAAACATTTTGGCTCAGCTTTGCTCGCATAGATCAAACCACCGGTCCAGCACAGCCACTCTCCCCATTATGCCGTCTATAGCCGAAAACTTCAAGAAAACGACTCCGCAGCTAAATAATGTTAACTCAAACGGCCTTTCTGACAGTTTTAATGTCCGTTTAACCACCGACACCCCATGCTACACCTGCTTGGCTAGCTTTAGCTGCTAACAAAGTTAATAAACCAAGGGTGCTCACATCCAGTCCTCGAGAGCTACCATCCTGCAACTTTTAGATGCATCTTTACTCCAACAGACCAGGATCAGCTCCGAACGGACCTGCTAACCAGCCATTCATTTGATTCAGGTGTGTTGAAGCAGAGAAGCAGCTGAAAGTTGCAGGATGGCAGCTCTCAAGGACTGGACTTGAGCACCCCTATATTAAACAGTCATATACACTGTGATATCCAAACAACTTATGTTAAGCATAAGTCAATATTCTTGCGCA